CCTCCTCTTCCCCCCCTCCCTCCTCCCACCTCCCATCCCTGCCTCTGCTCTCCGCATCAGTCTACAATCTCGGCACCCCTCACACGCTTCGTGGTCCCATAGGGATCTCCACCGAAGGTCCCATTGCTACCGCCCGCATGCGTCCCCCCACCCAGTACAGTGCTTCGTGGCCCCGAGCTCCACCGAAGGTCCCAGTGCTACCGCTCGCATACGACCCCCTGCCCAGTACAGCACTTCGTGGCCCCATGGGGAGCTCCACCGAAGGTCCCAGCGCTACCGCTCGCATACGACCCCCACCCCAGTACAGTGTTTCGTGGCCCCATAGGGAGCTCCATCGAAGGTCCCAGTGCTACCGCCCGTATGCGTCCCCCCGCCTCCCAGTACAGCGCTTCGTGGCCCCATAGGGAAGTCCACTGACGGCCCCTGTGCTACCGCCCGCATGCGTCGCTTCGTGGCCCCGTTGGGAGCTCCACTGACGGCCCCAGTATGCGTCCCCCTCACTCAGTACAGCGCTTCGTGGTCTCATAGGGAGCTCCACCGAAGGTCCCAGCGCCACCGCCCGCATACGTCCCCCCGCCTAGTAAAGCGCTTCGTGTCCCCATACGGAGCTCCATCGAAGGTCCCAGCGCTACCGCCCGCATGCGCCCCCCCCGCCTAGTAAAGCGTTTCGTGGCCCTGTAGGAAGCTCCACAGACGGCGCCAGTGGCACTGTCCGCATGCGTTCCCCACACCCAGTACAGCGCTTCGTGGCCTTATAGGAAGCTCCACCGAAGGCCCCAGTGGCACTTTCCGCATGCGTCTCCCCCACCCAGAACAGCGCCTTGTGACCCCATAGGGAGCTGCACCGAAGGCCCCAGGCACCGTCCGCATGCTTCTCCCTCACCCCAGTACAGTGTCTTGTGGCCTCATAGGGAGCTCCACCGAAGCTCCCAGTGGAACCATCCGCATGCGGTTCCGCCACCCAGCACAGCGTCTCGTGGCCCCACAGGGAGCCCCACTGAAGGCCTCAATGGCACCGTCCACATGCGTCTCCCCCACCTAGTACAGCGTTTCGTGGCCCATAGGGAAATCCACCGAAGGCCCCGGTGGCAAAGTTCGCATGCATCTCCCCCACCTCTCCCCCACCCAGTACAGCGCTTCGTGGTTTCATGGGGAGCTCCACCGGATGCACCAGTGGCATGCGTCTCCCCCACGCAGTACAACGTTTCGTGGCCCATAGGGAGCTCCGCCGACGGCCCGAGTGGCAAAGTTCGCATGCTTCCCCCCACTCATTACAGCGTTTCGTGGTCCCACAGAGAGCTCCACCGACGACGATACCCACAACTGCGGTACTCACAACTGCATATGGTTGGGTCCTTCGCCAGGCTCATTATTCATAATTTCTCTCCTCCTCTGCCTTCCATCCCCTCCTTCCCCCCCAAGTCCCGCCCAGCCGAGCATCAGTCTGCGCAGGGCGACCGCACAGTTGCCCGGGTGCCGGAGGCACGGGCCAAGACTTCCATCCCGAGATCTAGATTGGCACGGCTTTCGGGCCGATCTGCAGTAGCCTAGCGTAGCCTCCCCGGGGTGCTCCCTTCCCCCGCCTCTCCCGAAGGACAGAGAACCCAAGACATGCCCGCGTCGTGAACAAATCACGACGGGAGGTTTTTGGCCGTTTTCGGCCTCCAGGGGCCTTCGCCAGGCTTCGGGGCCGCTAGAAACAACAATGTAATGATAAGCCGGGGTGGAATGCCGACCTTGGGGAAAGGGTCGGGACTTCTGGGGACCCCGTATCGAGAACGTTCTCGATACGGGGTCCCCAGAGAACGTCCTAGAACGTTCTAGAACGTGAGAAATCCGATTTCTCGACGTTCTAGAGGACGTCCTAGACCGTATCCGATTTCTAGAACGTCGAGAAATCGGATGTCTGGGACAGCGACGCTGACGTAAACGTTCTCCAGCGTGGGCCCGGAACTGTGAATGTTTGCCACCCCCTGCGTGTGAGTTAGGCAGAGCAGTCTGTTTGGCTCAAGCTACGCGTGCTGCGAGCAGTGCGGTGCGAGCCGCGTGTGGTGCCGTGAGCACCGTGACGCAAGCCGCGCGGTGCAAGCAGTATTGTGCAGGCTGCGCGTGATGCAGACAATGCGATGTAAGCTCTGCTCGCCGAGCGCGTTCCACGGCACGCGAAGTGCCTGCTCGCAGACGTCCGAAGAGCAGATGTCTGCCTCGATGTAATCTATCGCAGAGCCCCCGCGGCGGATCCGGGCCACTTGCGAGTAGTTGCTTTGCGCGCAGTGGACCGCGCTCCTCTATACATGTGGTGCAAGCAGATGCGTGCAAGCTCCGCGTGGCGAGCCATGCAGCGCAAGCAGCACGAGGCGCTCACGCGGCGCCCCCTCCGGCCGCCCACTGGGCGATACCTACAGGCCTGGCCAGCGCGCGGGGACGCCCGAGAGGCGCCCACGGCCGCTCGCCAAGCGAGACCTCGGCAGGTCCATCTTATTACCGTCGAGTCGGGGAT